CACCCCTTGGGTTCATTGAGAGGCTCCAGGTCTGGGCCCCAGGTTTGCAGCTCCCTGAGACCAGCTGCCACTCCCTCGGGGGCCTCAGTGTCTCCATCCACCAAATGGGAGCATTGGCTGAGACCCATTCCAGGCTTGAAGTTCTGTGAGGTCATGACTGGATTAATTCAAAGTGGCCTGTACCCAGAGGGAGGCGGGAGCAGCATTTTAGAAGGTCAAGAGAGAGAGACAGATGCCCAGAAAAGGAGGGGGCCTACCTGACAGCCTCATCGGTACCAGCAAGTGTCAGATCCCAGCTCCAGTTCCAGGGTTGTCCTCAGGCGGGGGTCCCTGTGGTGTGGCCAGGGGTTACAGGCGTGGCCTGGGAGACCCCCGTTGGCCCAGGGCCCCTCCCCATCCCCTGGGCTGTGAGCTGCCAGAGGAAGCAACAAGGACCACACTAGCCCTGGGCCCGCTGGCTGCCTGGACTGGAGTTTGGTCAGTGGTTGGGGACCTATATTGTGAGAAAGTTAGGACTTTGTCCACAAACTGGAATTTGAAATTTCAAAGGGGCGAAACTGAAGGGCCCTACCCCAGAGCAGAGATGGCTCTTGGCTTCTTTCCTCCACGACTTTTGTTCTTTGTCTTGATAAGTCCCCAGTTCCCTGCACTGCTCCCCAGGTGGTGGGTGGGGGAGGAGAGGCAGGAGACAGTGGGGTGGTGAGCACCCAGAGGAAGCCATCCCCGGCAGCCGGTGTCTGGAGGATGCCCTTGAAACTGTATGTGGCGGGGACAGACTCCCCTTCTCGTGATGGTGGGACCACCAGCCCCAGTGCCCCCACATTTTGAGGTTCTTTTTGAGATTCCTGGAGACATGAAAGAGGTGAAGCCCCAAAGCTCTGATTCAAATTATAGCCCCTCCAGTTATGATCCGTGTGTCCTTAAGTAGGCAAATCACCTCACCTCTCTGAGCCTCACTTTTGTTACCTATAAATTGGGGATGACAATCACCCCTACTTCTGTGAGCAGACAAAAAGGGAAGAGCAGAAAGTTCTTAGCGCTGGGCCTAGCCTGGAATCGCTCCAGGACATTAGCCATTATTACAATTGAAAAGAAAAATGATACGGTCCTCAGTGACAGCTCCCTTATCCTGCCCACACCAGGGCTTGAGTGCCCCAGCCGCCGCTGGGCCCGGCAGCTGACACCCCCACCCCCATTCTCCTCTCCAGGCCGTTGTTTCTCCACAACGAGAAGGAGCTGGACCTCTTGGTGAGCGCTGAGGCCCTCTGGTAGCCGAAGCTCCTTGAGCTGGGGTTTGACAGCCCATGGGGTCAGGTCAAAGGTGAAGAACAGCCACTGTATGGATGGCTCCGAAGCCAGGGCTTGTTCAGGGGTGCACTGCTGCTCCCCAGGAGCTCCCCTGAACAGAGATCCTGATCCCCACAGGTCATGTGGTCAGTGGGTCAACAAGTCAACCACCAATAACAGCACGCTCAGTCTTTTAACTCCCATGCCCTCACTGCCAGCAGGGGCCCACTGTCTTGTCCACTGTAGACCTCAATTAATTCAGGCTAAGATGACATCCCTCGAGATAGAAGGCTTGTTCTTTTCGTGATCAGTTACCCTCCGACCTGCTGGCCATCACGTTGCCCAGGATGCTGGGGTGTGAACACATGGGCCGGTTGAAAGAGGCATAGCCCTGTGTGGCCTGTCACAGGGACCAGACAGCTTCCCAGAGCTGCCCCTCTGGCTCTTCTGGGCTCCTCCCAGCTCGGCGTTGCCCCCAAGGCCACTGGAGAGAGTCAGCAGTCCCCAGGGTGGGGCCAGCTAGGTGTGGTGTCAACTGCCAGCAGGGGCCAGCTCATTTATCTGATGTCCAAATGAAGGCTGAGAGAAGCAGAGTCTTAGGTCACAGAGCTTGGGAAGTTGGCAGAGTGTAGATTTTGACCCAGCTAGATGTGGTGTCAAGATCTGTGGTTTTTTCCTCTGAGTTGGGGGCTGGGGTGGAAAACTAAGAACCTTGGAGTCTTATTTCATTTAATCTTCACAACAAGTTACAAGTTAGATTATTTTACAGAGGGAGAAGCCAAGGCTTCAAAATAATGATTTACTTACATGGCAGGGCCAGTAGATCTTACAGGAGGGAGCATCAACACAAGGGTGGTGTATCTAAAGCTGTTGTCTCTGTGGGCTGAGGTGGGGTGCATGGTGTATGCAGTGGATTATCCACATTTTAGTTCCTGAGTGGGTAGATTTACTTAGGGGGATAAAACTTACTTAGGTTGAGGCCTCCCCTGGTGGCGCAGCGGTTGAGCCCTTGGCTGCGAAGCTGCCCACAGCCTCTGCAGCGCCAGATCGATCCCCGGCCGCGGATGAGGGTCCCACATGGCGCGCAGACCTCTCCTGCCGAGCCCGCTGCTGCTCCCCTCAACAGTGTATTTCGTCAATCTGCCTGTTCTGTTTCCCGCTCTGGCTCTGGTGAATTCTCTCGCCCTCCCATCCTCCTGACTGTACCCAGTGCTTGCATGGATAACATAAATCTTTAAAAAAAAAAAAAAACAAACTTACTTAGGTTGAGTGAATAATCAGTGGGTGAATTAGTGAATGGGCAGATGGGGGGGGGTGTTGCATGAGTGTATGCAGGCGTCTTCTACATACCCTTTCAATTATTTGAAGCCCTTTCTCGGCCCTGCAAAGCTTTCTGCTCCCCCTTCACCTTCTCCCTGGAGCAGAAATAACAGGGATTTGTGGTAGGGAGGGCAATTGTTCTGGAGAAGAAAAGGGCTGGATCTGGTAGCAGGGGGCTAGTTTGAGCACTGTTCATATAAGTTTGTCTAAGTCAGGACAGGGCTGGCTACAACACAGGTTTCTGGAATGCCTCATCTGCGGTGAGTCACCTGTGCTGGTATATGTGTGATGAGTCACTTTATTCGTGGTTCATAATGATTGCGTATGTAACAGCCCACGTATGTGGTCTGGCATGGCCAGCACTCGTCCACTGTAGACCTCAATTAATTCAGGCTAAGATGACATCCCTCGAGATAGAAGGCTTGTTCTTTTCGTGATCAGTTACCCTCCGACCCGCTGGCCATCGCGTTGCCCAGGATGCTGGGGTGTGAACACATGGGCCGGTTGAAAGAGGCATAGCCCTGTGTGGCCTGTCACAGGGACCAGACAGCTTCCCAGAGCTGCCCCTCTGGCTCCTCTGGTCTCCTCCCAGCTGGGCGTTGCCCCCAAGGCCACTGGAGAGAGTCAGCAGTCCCCAGGGTGGGGCGAGGCGTGTGGGGGACCCACCTATAGCTGAAGTCTCCTTCAGATCCCATTGAAAGTCAAAGTCTGTTTGGGGGAGCTCTTTTTTCCTCTCTCCTTTGGGTCTTGTTCTGGCCAACAAATGACTGGGCCGGGATGTTCTTCCCATTTTGTAGACGCAGGAGCTGCGGCCCTGGAAGAGATGTGACTTAAAGAAAGTGGTGTGAACAGTGATCGAACTAGCTCCTAAACCCAAGTCCCCTGCCACCAGGTCCAGCCTTTTCTCTTCCAGAACAATTGTTCTCCCCCCGCCACTTAATCTCAGCCCCAGGGAGAAGATGGAGGAGGAAGCTGTGCAGGGCAGAGAAAGGGCTTCAAATAACTGGATGAGTATGAGGAGGGCACCTGCACACACCCCTCCAACACGCACCACCCCTTTTGCCCATTCATTAATTCAATCCCCTGATTATTCACTCATTCACCCACTTGCTAATTCATTCTTTCACTAATTCATCCACTCTCTCCATATTCACACACTCTTGCACACGGTTGTCGCCAGTTCCCTCACGCCCACCTCCAGCTGCAGAAGAGGCAGCTCCCAGGCCTCCAGAGTCCTGCATCCATTACCCCTCCAGCTAGAGGGGTGCTTTTGGAAGCAGAGGGCAATGACACTCGAGGGCGTGAGAAGGAAAGAGGGCATCATGGGCTGGGTTGGTGGGTAAGACAGGCAGGATTTCCAGGCCTGGTTGAAAGGGAAATGCAGACCCTATGTTCAGAAATCATTGTGAATTTCAAGACGGCAACAGCAGAACATTAAACCCAGCACAGGACCTCCCAAGAGCAGGGCTCTGAGCTGCTCAGGCGGCCTGCCTAGCCCACTCTGAAGGGGGGAGATGGGTGGAGAAAACAGGAGCCAGATGGGGAGGCAAGGGATGGGCAGGGTGGGGGGTGAGGATGGAAACTTGCTTGGTTTCAATACTCAAACCACCCTTTGAGGTCAAATTGCGCATTTTACAGAGGAGGAAACTGAGGCTCAATGAGGAGAATCATTTACCCAAAGTCATGATTAGTGGGTGGTAGGCGCCTGAATGTAAATCCAGGTCTGAGGGACTACAAGCCTGGTCTCCGCCTATTTAGGGGGTGGGGTGGGGAAGGGAGAAAGAGGAGGTGATGGTGAAATGGGAAATTGTCTGGGCCTGATCAGCTGGGTCCTGGGGGGCTGATGGTAGCCTTGGGGATGATGGGGGGAGCAGGGGAAGAGAGCCAGAGGTGAATCTGGGACACCCCCAGACCTCCATTCCTTTCTGCTCCCAGTGGAGATGGGAAACTAGGACGGAGCCTCCAGAAGGAGGATCCAGAAGATTGGAGTCTGGGGCCTGGGATTTAGATTTCTAATCCACGAGCCATGGGGTAGCTTTATCTTTCCCAAAGCATCAAGAGTAGAAGTCAATGGTTGGGAAAGCAATTATATTAGGGCCTTTTGGAGGTGCTGTCCTCTCGAAGCTCATTGGTTGGAGGTGACACGAGGGTGACTGAGTCAGGGACCCAATGACTTCTGGTGCCTTCATGCCCCTGTGGGTAACTGAGTGTTGGTGAGTTAAGGCCCCAACAGTTGTAAGAGCACCCGGGGTGTCAGCCAGAAACCAACAAACAGCCAAATCCCTGCAGCCCCGCCCAGCCTATCCAACAGTGGGGGAGCTGATTAACCATTAACCCCCACCCCTCCCAGGCTGAGCCTCCACCCTTCACAGAGGCTAACCTAGACTCCAGGCAGATCCTCCCAGAGGACGGTTTGAAACGCAGGAAGGCAGAGAGGCACCTGGGAGGAAGCAGTGGGAGGGCAGAGGGCGGGGGCCGGGGCTCAGCCCGAAGACTTCGGGGTGGGCATCCTGGGCAGGGCAAGTGACCGAGGTGTGGAGGGGGAGGATGCGCCTCTCCAAAACCCTCGTCGACATGGACATGGCTGACTACAGTGCTGCGCTGGACCCTGCCTACACCACTCTGGAATTTGAAAATGTGCAGGTGTTGACGATGGGCAATGGTAGGTGGGGGCATGTGTGCCCAGTTGTGGGGGGAGGAGAGAGCCCAGGTATGGGAGCGGATCTGTGCTACTCAACTTTGAGTTGGGAGGACTTAGAGAAAATGGTGGGTTGGGCCTCTAGACAGGCACAGGTGCTGCCAGGTGAAGTAAATGTGCCCAGGTAGTATGGCCAGAGGCATTATGGGTGAGGGGAAACCTGTAAGGGCAAATCTCCAGCACAAGTAGGTCCCAAGGATCCCGCCAGACCCTCCAGTTCCTGTTACCTCAAAGCTGCTCCCGCTCAGCATGTCACCGGGAACAGGAACACTGTGGGGGTGTGGGGGAGCTCCCTGTTGGCGTTGAGCTCCAGTAGCTGAGCCCAACATGGCCCCTTCTATATGGCCGTTTCTTGAACCCCTTGGGCCCAGGTCCCAAGAGATGAAAAATATGTCCTGTCGCTAGAGATGGCGGGTGACGGCACAACGATGTTTCAGGGTGTCTTTGGGACTTTCCTAGGTGTGAACGCCCCAGTTAGGAAACTGAGACTCCAAGTAGGCAGAGCGTGTTGCGTGTGTGATCGTGGCTTCCTCTTGGTATGTGTGCGTGAGTTTCCATGTGAGTGTGTGTGGGGGATGGCGTGTACCGCGTCGGCACACCTGTGCCCCTGGGGGGCCATTTGCATGTCGGAATTCATCTGTGTGTGCGCGTTCTGTGCCTCTTGCAGCTGTATTCATTCACTGAGCATGTCTGTGTTCTTTGGGGCTCCTGGGGGTGCTGTGTTTGTCTTGCTCACGGCAGGTGGATGTTTGTATATATGTGCTGTGTGTGCGGATTTGCTCTGTGCTTTCCATGTAAGCCCCGTGTGGGCGCTTGGCCGCGTGCGCTGGCTGAAGCCTGCTGGTGCGCGGCTCTGTCCTGCGGTCGGTGCTCTCTCACGCACATGGTTATGCGGGCAGCCGTGTGGGTTTCCGATGATGCCTTTTGCCAAATGAGATTCACATCAGCGACATGTCTGTGTGTCAATGAGCGCCATCTGTCTCAGAGCAGATTTTGTGTGTCTTTTCCCAAGTTTGCACATCCACTCCAGCACTGCTGAGCGCACATCTGAAGGGGGTTAGGGGGTAGACAGTTCTCCTGGGGGCAGGGTGAGGCATGAGAGCAAGGCAGCTCCTACAGGGGAAGGCCCTATCTGGTCCCAGGCTGGCTTCAGGAGAGGGGGTGTTGGACTGGCCAGGGGCAGCCTCCCACCTGTCTCCCTTCTGGAAGTAGGTGAAGTAAATGTGATCTGGAAGCCTGTGGTCAGCTCCACTCAGCCAGAGAGGAGGCGGTGGCGGGGCAGCACCTATGGTCAGTCCTGGTAGTGGCTCACCTGCCCCTGCCAACCACTCCCCACGTGACCTTGGTCACATCACTTCCCCTCCCCTGGCCCCCGTATCTTCTACAAAATGGCTTAACAGCCCCAGGCCTGCTGTCTGACTGGCTTTTAGCATCAGGGTATCACATGAGGGACCGGGGAGGAACATGCTGGCAATGGCATACGCCTAGCTGCTGTGCTAGGCGGGTGCTGGGTGACCCCCACAGGGACAGAGTGTGCTGTCACACTCCTGGCCACCACCCAGGCCAGGCTGCTCCCTGGGGTGCTGCCACTTGTCGCCTCCAGAGTCAGAGCCTCCAGCTCCCCAGAATCGGGTTCTCCTGAGTCAAAAGCCAACCCCTTCCTCTGGGTGCCCTGAAGACAGGACAGCCTTCAGTTCTGGAGCCAGAAAGATTTGGGCTCAAATTCTGACATAAATCCTCCCTACTGGTGTGGACTTGGCAAGCCATTTCCTCTCTGAGCCTCCCTTTCCTCATCTGTAGATGGGAAGGAGTAATAGTGCCCGCTCCCAGGGCAAACCAGAGGATTCCATAGGCCTGAGTGCTCAGCATGGGGTCCTGGCCCTGCTTGGGTGGTCTAAGAACTCTGAGCATCTTGCTAGGTAAAGAGTTTGCATGTGTCCCCTGCCGGAGAATGAGTCTTCTAGAAGTGGAGATGTATTTCTGCATGCATCCCAGGCTGGAGACTCGTGGGGTCCAAGGAGAGCTTCCTTCCCTGCCCCCACCTCCAATTCAGAAGCAGCAATAGCAGTAGGGGCTCCTTGATAATCAGAAGCCCTAGCAGACACCCCAACAAGTGTAGCATTGGCCAGAGTCCTCCAGTACGTCTGAGCTAGAGTAGGGTCCTCCCCTCAACAGAGTATAATGACCCTTCTGAGCCTTATTGCTCTTACCTGGAGAAGGGGGGCAATTGCTGACTCTGTGGGTGAGATGATGGACCCAGCAGCACCCAATCCATGCCACCTCAGACATGGGGGCGCTTTCCCCCAGCCTCTGCTGAACAGACACGGGTTCTGGGGTTAGCTCTCCCTCGTGGTTGGGGGAGGCAAGGCGGAGGGAGAAAGGGCACCAACACAGCTTAACAATTACCCCCATCTCCAGAAATAATTCACCAAGAGGAGGAGGCCACACTCCTGGGCACCCTCGGGCATCTGGGGATGTTCAGCCAGACGATGGTAGAAGTGAAATGCAGGGATCCGCATGTGCGTGGAGACTAGAAGGCACTGGCTCTGCCAGTCTTCTCCTGCAGGAGCATTTTCAGTTCATAAAAGCTGGTGTAGTGCTAGTCTGCGCACTCCCCGCATGGTGATTCACTGAATCCTCATAATGGGCCTAGGGGATTTTGCTCCCCTCTGGTAAGTGAGGAAGCGAGGTGCTGGGAGGGGAGGGAGGCAGGCAGCGTCACACTAAGAAGTGGCAAACTGGGACTCGAGCCTGGCAGAAGGCCTCCGGGGCTGAGCTCCTGATGGCAGCACCACGCAGGCCCCTCTCCAGGTCTGAACTGGATGGTCGCTAGGAATTCGCGGTCAGAGTCCAGATCTCTGTGAAAACGTGTGTGTGATGCTGTGTGCTGTGACTGTGTGTGGCTGCCCCGGGAGGCTGGTCCAGAGCATTTACCATCTTCTCCAAGAGGTCTGTCTTTGGTGGGAGATTTGTTCACCAAAAATGAGTGTTTTAGCTTCTGAAAATTTTCAAAACAGAAAACAATGGGACTAGTTGAACTGCCCCCTTAATAGGTAAGGAAACTGAGGTCCAAGGGGAGTTGAGGCAAAGCGCTTGCCCAGGTCACAGGCAAGGTAGGGGCAGCATCAGTGGTAGCCCCAGGGCCTCCCAGTACCCAATCCAAGATCTGCTTCACAGGGCCTCATACTGCGCCCCCTCACTTTCACCCACATGCAGTGGCTTTTGCCTCTGGGACAGGGGGCGCCCAGAAGCATCTTTGCTGTGACACTTCCAGGAGGGCAAATGAGCGGCTGCCCTTGGTGAATGTTTTTCTGATCCCCGGGAGAGTCTGCAGAGTCCCTGAGCACCAAGCTGAGACCCACCCCCCCAAGTCACTCAAGAGAAAAGGGGGCAGAACTTGGCTCTGTACAGAACTATCCCTTCCAGAGCCCACGCTGCCCAGTCTATAAGGGTCACAGGTGTCCGAGGAGGTGGCCAGGTGTTTTCCACCTAGAGAAAGCTGGGGTTCACAGTCTCCAGATGGCAGAAGCAAACCCTCACAAATGACTCAGTGGGGTCAGTGTCACAATCATCCCCAAATTGTGGATGTGAAATGAGGCTTCCAAAAAGTCATGAGACTTGCTGAGATAGAAGATCATCTCAGAGCGGGAGCGGTACATGGGTCTGGGAGGCTGGATCCCTGGGGAGGTCTCCAGAACACCCGCATCACTTTCTAAATCCAAGCCACAAGAGAATGACCCATGGAGGCGACTTTCTGGCCACCGCCCCAGCCCCCTGAGTCTTCACTCTCTTCTCTTTTGTTGCAGACACTTCTCCATCAGAAGGCGCCAACCTCAACACATCCAACAGCCTGGGGGTCAGTGCCCTGTGCGCCATCTGTGGGGACCGAGCCACCGGCAAGCACTATGGCGCCTCAAGCTGCGACGGCTGCAAGGGTTTCTTCCGCAGGAGTGTGCGGAAGAACCACATGTACTCCTGCAGGTGAGCCGTGGGGCTCAGCCTGGCTCCTCCAGCCAGGGAATGGGTGCGCTTGGGCTAATTTAGTTCCCTAGGGTGTATCTTCTCCCCACCTGGGTCCCAGAGGCCTCTGCCCTTCCTTCCATGCCTCCAAGCTGCCTCTGGTGTCTTAGGCTTGGTGGATCCAGGTGAGAACATCTATTCCAGGAGCCTCACTGACTGATGGCAAGCTCTTTGTTAAGCACTGACTATGCCACACACCGTGGTGCATCCTTGCGTGATTCTACCTGTCCCTGAAATCCCGTTGTTATTACCCCATTTAGCAAATGAAGATCCATGGGGCTTAGGATTAAGCCTTTGCTGACTCTTCAGAGGATGGGGTCCACCCTCCAACATGGTGCTTTTTCTGGGGCACATAGGAGATTGACTCCAGGCTTTTTGAGGTACCCCAAGGGCTTCGCAAGGCCTTGGAGAACCCTCCTTCAAAAGCATCTCCCATCTGGGCAATAGTAATAATGAAATTCCAGCAACTGTCACTTAGGAGCCCTGTGCAGACACTGTGCCAAGGCCTGTTGGAGTATTATCTCATTTTTACCTGTCAACGCCCCTTTGAGGCTTCCCCCCCCCCCCATTTATAGATGAGGAAGCTGTGGTTTGGAGAGGGCTAGGTATTTGCCTAAGGTCACTCAGCTTGAATCAATGGCAGAGCCTGGGTTGACACTCAGGGCTCCACCCATAACTACTGTGGCACACTGCCTTCACCTCTTCCTCCTCCAGAGAGTGCCTTGTGTGGGCCACGCATCGCCTCTCAGCAATGAGGGGGAGCCTGGGATCTGTTCTGGGCTTTCCCAGATGTGCTGGCAATGAGTGTCCTGGTTCTCATGGGTCTAGGGTTCCCAATTCAGCTCTAACACCAAGATGAGTGGTCTGAGGCCACAAGTGGCCTCTCCTAGCCACAGTTTCCCCGTATTTAGCAGGACAGAGCCCATAAAGTCTTCCTTTTGGCAGGCATGAGAAATCCTGGCATGAAGGGTTAAAGCAAGGAGGATGGAGGGCAACCAGATGGCCAGGGTTTTAGTTCAGTCCTGGAGGGGGAGGTGATCCCTTCCCCATCCAACCATCCAAAGCCTTCCCCAGATTTAGCCGGCAGTGCGTGGTGGACAAAGACAAGAGGAACCAATGCCGCTACTGCAGGCTCAAGAAGTGCTTCCGGGCTGGCATGAAGAAGGAAGGTGAGCCTCGGCCTTCCCCTGCACCCCAATGCCCCCTCCCCCAGCTCCCGGGCAGTCATTTACAACCACAACCACAACTTTATGACTAGGTGACAGGCCCCAGGGTGACTGGCTAATGACTGAGAGGAGGAAGGGCCTGGAAATCTGACCATAGGGAGGGGCTGGGCTTGGTCTTGAGAAAGATTCAGAGATAAGCACCCAGTGTTGGCTACTCAGTTCCCAGCCACCACCACCTGCCTGCCTTTGCCACCCCAAGTCAGCCACTCCGGGCGCTTTTTCTTGATCCACCACTAGGAAAAGTGTAGAGTAAGACATTGCAAATTTCCATGTACGCACTCAGAGCTCAACAAACATGGACATGGGGCTGCTGAGCTTCCTACCCCAAGAACCAGTTCCCCACAGCCTTACTCTTTATTCCTGGGTATCAGGTAACCCAAAGGTTTCCTGTTCTAGGGAACAGGGACAGGTTCCAGACTCTTGCTGGGAAGAGGAGGGGAAGGCAACTGTCATCAGCCTCACTGACAAGGCTTCTGCTCCAGGCAGACATTTAATAACACCACACTGGACTTTCCTACAACCATTCTCTGTTTTCCCCCAGCACCCCTCTGTGGCACTATCATTACTGCCCCTTTTCATGGCTGAGGGAACCGAACCCCACAACTTACCTGTTCAAGTGAAGCAACTTGCCAAAAACCTACAACTGGTCAGTGCCAGACCCAAGGTTTGAACCTACAGCTTCTGACTCACGTTTAGTGTTACCCCCAGATTCCAGGATCATTTAACCTTTTTTCAACCCAAGTTCAGGGAGAAAAAACCCTTTTACTGCTTCTCCAATGAACTTGAGTTCCTTTTCAAATCTCTTCTGTTCCCTCACCCCTCAACATACCTCCACCACCTCTAGGACTAGCTTAAGACCTGTAGCCTTTTCGCCCAAAGCTGTGGACATACTGGCCAAACCCTTCGTTAGTTCTGTACACACACACACACACACACACACTCACAAACACACCACCCCACCCAACCCCACCCCACCCCACAGCAGGATTCTGCAAGTCAGCTTCCCGGGTGACTGGGAAGGAGGCGAGCTCGGCTCTGGCAGCTTCTCCTACCCTGGCCCTGCCTTTGAGCCCCTATTTTCTCTGTCCCGCTCCCCTGGAACTCTCGTCTGTGTATCAACCCTACAGAGCTCAGGACCCCTGTTGGGAAATCTGAACTTGCTGACCCCGCTGAAGGAGTGCGTGGTTTCTAAGACCTCCTCCTACTCTGAATACTGGCAACCAAACCCTGTTGGCTTTCAAAGTGGAGCAGGGATCTCTTCAAAGGGCAAACAGCCCCCAGTTTTCAATAGGCCTCTTTCCCCCACCTCTCCACCAAGTTGAGATCTATTTTGTGGAATGAGAAATGATATGAATGGGAACATGGCGCCTGTATGAGCAGCTTGAAGCAAGAAAAAGGTGGAGAATTGTTTGTAAGGGTCTGTGGTTCTAGTGGTCAGGAAGCCGATTATCCCAGACAGCCGAGGATTTTAGGTTCAAGAGAAAGAATCTCTTGTGTGATCATTTCAGGCCACGTAACTGACAGGTGGGAGAAGGGTTGGCGGCTTTCCTAGGCTGTGTGGGGCCTGGTGCTGGATGTGGTCAGTCTCTTTTCAAACATCCAGGGAACTTTCAGGGAACTTTCTGCCCCTTCTGGGCTGCAGTTTTCCATCTATAAAATGAGGCGTCAGAAAAGGACTTGCATCTAGGCACACTCTCCCTGGCCTCCCACACGGCACGCTGCCCACCAGGGCCATGTGTGGCTCTGCGCGGGGGACACTGCCCTTTATTCTGCCTCTACCAGGCTCCCTGGTGGGTGAAGGAAGCGGTGGCTGCCACAGGAGCTGTGTAGGGGAGTGGGGTGGACTTGCATATGAACAGGGGAGCAGAGCTGGAAGCTGGCCCCAGCCAGGGTGGTCGCAGGAGAGGGGTTTTTTTACTTTGGAGTCTCCAGCTCCTTAACTCCCCAGTGCCCTTAACCGATTTGACTTTCATTCTCATTTCATTTCGATACCAGACAAGGCCCATCTCCTGACTCCTGAAGAGGAACAAGAGCCCAGGCTGCTCTGCCTTAGCTTAGCCTTGAAAAGAGTCATTGCTTCTTGGCTGAGGGCAGCTGGCTTTATGCCAGGAAGATAGGAGATTTGGCTGGTGGCGGGTGAGCACGGGCTAGTCAACAGTGCTTATTTACATGCCTGGCTTAAATGGAAGATGGACATGCACTCGCTTGGCTGCTCTGAGAAGTGACCAGGGCAGCAAAGTACCCAGTTGACTCTGTGGTCAAGTTCTGGAAGGGGGGCTTCGACCTAAATCTTTTAGCCCCAACACTCTGGTGGGACCTTCCCAAAGTCAAGAGAGGCTTCCGCAGAAGCCTTGGTGATCAGGAGAGTTGGGACCAGCTTGTGTGCCTCTTGCTTGATGGCCTTGGGAAGACTCGGAGATTAAAACCCAAAAGCAGTGCCTGAGGACAGGGAGGGAAGAAGGGCTTTGAGGTCTGTGAGTCCCTATATGAGGTCATCAGATCTGCCCTTCTCCCTGCTTTACAGATGGGCACATGGAGAATAAGTAGTGACTGAGTTGGGGGTAGTTGGGACTAGTGCTCAGGCTCCCCAGAGCTGAGCAGACACCCCACTCCCCAGATGAAAACTGGGGCTGATGGCCTTGGGAGGCATCCTCTCCTGTCTAGATTCCTGAAACTTCCTCTTGACTGCTTGAAGGGCTCCAAATCTCATAGACCCGTAAGTCTTGACCAGAGTCTATTCCGTGGTGGTAAGAAGTGAGTTTCCTGGAGGACAGCCTCTGGGGAGAAGCCTGGGGGTCACTGGGCCCAATAGCAGGTCAAAAGGGCCGGGGAGACGACCCCACCTGGGTCTCAACTGGCAGACCCAAGACAAATGTCCGGCATCAGAAACCCAGTCCAGGAAACCAGGCCAGAGGTGCCGGAGGTACAGGCTGGCTGTGGGCCAGGGGACCTCTGATGAGATCTTCCTCGAAGCCCCAGCCCAGCCCCCCAGGGGCACTCACTCAGGGGGTTCTCTGGGAAGACAGGCTCATCCTCCTCTGCGCCTCTGCCCAGGTCAGTTAATATTCAATAGAAGTTACATTAGGTCCCCGACCCTGCTAATACTGAGCAAACATTTGGAAAACATCATTCCGTGACTGAGCTCGCGCCGGGCACTGATAAGGCCCGCCTAACCTTGAGAAGCCCTATCCGCAGCTGCTGACTGCAGCCTTTATTGGGCCCGCCTCCCCTTGGCGCCCGGTGGGTGCAGTGTCGGTGGCTGCCCTGGGAGGGGTGTTTGCAGGCGGGGCCGGACGCGGGCAGGGGAGAGGCACTGGGAGCTGGCGCTCCAGGGTGGAGCGTCTCAGGGGAGCTTTCTTACTTTGGGGTGTCCAGCCCACTGACTCCCAGCTCCCTTTAGACTATTTGACTTTCATTCTCTGATCTATTTCATGTGTGAAATCAAGAGAAGCCAGTAGCTCAGATGTCAAGCTGGCGGATGTCAGCTTGACCCTGGGAAACCGAAACCGGTGTAGGGCAGGGCTCACTGTGCCTCCTGCATTCACTCAGCAAATGCTTCTTGAGTACCTACTGTGTGCCAGGCTTTGTCTGGTCACCAGGGCTATTGCAGCAAATGAGAGGCAAAGTTCTGGCTTTCTGGAGCTTTCCTTCTCATAGAGAGGCACAGAATAAGGAAACGATCAAATTACAGTAAGTGCCAAAAAAGGAAAGTAGAACAGGGTGAATGGTAGAGCATGGAGTGGGTGCCCCCCAGGAGGGTCATCAGAGGGTGTCTCTGAGGTGACCTTTGCCAGAGACATGGAAACGTGAAGAAGCTAAGCTGTGGAAGGAAGAGAATCCCAGGCAGCGGGAACAGCAGCAGCAAAGGCCCTGAGGCAGGATGCAGGAAGAGCAGGGAGGTGGGTCTGGTGGTCCAGTGAGTGCAGGGCAGATGGTCAAGTGAGAACAGAGACGAGGGCCGGTGAGGAGTGCAGAGCTGACTCGTGTGAGGTAGAGGGACGCTGGTTTCAAGCAGCAGAAGGACATGCCCCGAGTCGGGGTTTTGTGGATTCCCACACATGGATTGTGGAAGGATCATTGCATGATTGCATGAGTGGGGTTTGGGGTGTAAGGAAAAGAGATGTTCAGGAAGGCTCCCAGCTCTGGGCTTGAGGGGCTGGAAGAAAAAACCTGCCTGATCCCAAGATGGAAAGGCTGCAGAGGATCAGGTTTGGGAGGGAAACTGAGGCCCAGAGAGAGGATGTGAGTCCTGTCAGCACACAGGGAGAGTGGCAAGTTCCAGGTCACCCCACCCTCCCTCCCTCTAGCTCCAGCAAAGCGCAGGGAGGCCTCTTAGACTCCAAGCAACGAGGACAGACAGGGAAGAGCCATCTTAATATCATGGACCCTGACTCATCCAGATGGGGACGCGAAGTGGAGTGTGGGACTTGGTGGACAGAGGGCCTCATCCCTGAGCTCCTGGGAGAGACCCCTGTGGTGAGCAGGGGCCAGCTCAGGCTCTGAGAAGACTGGTCTGGGGCCTGCAGCTCCTGCTCATGCACAAGATGTGCGGAGCAGCTGGGAGCCTCCAAATCCCATCGCTCGGACCTTCTTCTCGGTGTTCAGAAACCCTGGGGCCTTCTCCATGTCACCTGAGTGTTTTCCTTATTTTACACATATTTTGCTAGAAATAAAGAGACCTTTTCCAAAACAGAGTTTGAAAATATGTCATCTACATGGATTCTCCATTCAGTGCTCAAAATTGCCCACCTCGGGCTGCTGTCCACCCATCACCATCTTGCATGCCTCCAGTGATGGGCAGATCACTCCTCAGGCACCCCATTGTTGGGGGAGGGCAGTGGCAGCATTTGGAAAGTTCTTCCACAAGCTGCTTTGAATCCATCTCCTGGTTCCTGCAGGCTGATCTGGGCCCTGCTCCCCGACACCTCCCTCCTACTCCCACCTCCTACTGTGCTTCCTCCTCACCAGCACAGCCCTGCAGTACCTCCTTCTGGATGAAAGTCTCTCCCCTTGCTCCTCACCCACTCCTCATCAGTCATGCGACTTCCCCTCCACCCCACCCATCCCTGCCCTCCTGCCTCACCTCTCTCTGCCTCCTCACAGCTGTCCAGAATGAGCGGGATCGAATCAGCACTCGCCGGTCCAGTTATGAGGACAGCAGCCTGCCCTCCATCAATGCGCTCCTGCAGGCAGAGGTCCTATCTCAGCAGGTACCAGCGTCACCCTCTGCCCTCCAGGGCATCCTCCATATTGAAAGAATCTCACCTCCATCCCTGTGCTCTGCAGCCAGGCTTTGGAGATGGGAGGACCCCGGACCCCACAGAAGGGACACTGAGTCCTGCATCACGCAGCTGGCCTAGTAGCAAAGACAGAACTTGCACCCAAGGCTGGCATTCTGGGTGCTTTCTGGTTCATCCTGCTGCCCCATCCTGCAGGCCATGCGGTCTTTATTCTCACTGAGGGCCTGAGATCAGCTAAGCCCTGAGGGAACCAAGTAGTGGACAGTGGACAAGTTGCAAAAGAGGGCTCAGCCCTTGCTTTGCTGATTGACCTTGGGCCAGTCACAGCACCTCTCTGGGCCGTGGCTTTGTCATCTGTCATATGATGAGGAGGATTTTTGCCCTGCTCCTCTAGAGCGGAGGGGTTCCTTGGGATTTTAGGGAGCGGGGGAGAAGGCAGGGAGGGGGCAGGCCTCAGTGTCTTCCTTTCTGTTTTCCCCTGGGCTTCCTTCAGAGCTGAGAAGGCTGGGTAGTGCAGTCTCCCTTTTGCAGGAAATGATCTGGGGGGGGGGGTTCCGCAGAGGACAAAGAGTGTGGGCAGGGCCTGGGACCATGCCGAGCATTTTCCTTCATCTCCCCCAGATTACCTCCCCCGTTTCTGGGATCAATGGAGACATTCGGGCCAAGAAGATCGCCAGCATCGCAGACGTGTGCGAGTCCATGAAGGAGCAGCTGCTGGTGCTGGTCGAGTGGGCCAAGTACATCCCCGCCTTCTGCGAGCTGCCCCTGGATGACCAGGTGGGGGGCAGGCCTGTGCAGGGGAGCCCGGCCGAGCGTGCTGCTGGCATAGAGCCTTGATTTTATTTAACAAAGTACACACTTTGCTGTTCAAGTCACTTTATAATATGAATCTCCCCCACAATCCTCCAAGGAGGGAAGGCTGTTATTCCCATGTTACAGGCGAGGCTGCCGGGGCTCGGAGAGGTAGAAATTACTTAAGGCCGTACAGCTGGTATCCAGCACAGCTGGGGTTAGAACCAGGCAGGTGAGATCCAAAGCCCAGGATCCTAACCCCTGCACCCCTGCACCCCGCACCCCTGCACCAAGCAGCTCTCCTGAGGGTGTGGGAAGAGGAGAGGACAGGTGGACAGGGCCCCAGGGGCCAGGGATAATGAGGTCAGGAGGTTTGGGCTGGAATCCTAACTCTAAGACGGGTTCTCTGTGTGAGCTTGGAAGAATGACCTCTGCTCTCTGAGCCTCAGTTTTCTTGACCCTTACAGTTTTCTCCTCTGTAAGGTGGGAATTATGTCTGCTTCAGAATGTCGTTGGGAGGACCGAGGCCGTTACCATTTACAAGTACAAACCAAGCAATGGAGAACCCACATGCCTTCCCCAGGCTACAGCTCGCCTCACCCAATGAGTTTCTTCCTTGGCTCCCACTTAAATGGCTGAACTCAGCATTTTCTTTTCCAAAGTCCAGTCTTTGGAATACCCAAGGGAAGTGGGCTGGGGTGGGGGATCTGAGGCCAGATGAATTCCTGATGTAGCACAGATGATTGCTCCTGCCTCTGGTTAGGCCTCTGTAGACGTTGTCCCTGTCTGGGAAAGAGGAGCTGGACTGGGGCACCTCTCAGCTCTGGGGCGCAGCAAGGGGACACCTATGGACAGTACCCCAGACACCAGCTCCGGGTGACTTTGCTTCTCTGTTGAGTCTGTTTGCACAGGAGACTGGCGAGGCAGGGATATTCAGGTTTCTGAGAATCCCTGCAGGCAAGGCAGCTGGTGAACTTCATGGAACCAGTGCTCCCCAATCTCCTTTGACACCCAGATTCTTGCAGAGCAGTCATCAGTATCGCACAGCAGGACTTGCTGTGAACACTCTGCTTTGGCTGGAGCGCAGTCTCACGCCGGCCTGGACCAGATGCTGTCTCGCATGCAGTCCCCGGCCCTCTGGGAGGGCCGTGATCTTGGCCGAGATGTCCCTGCCTTCTCCCCTGCTCCTTGCGCTCTGGCCCTGGTCCCCTCTGCTGGAGAGTCTGCATTAATGTTTAATCCCTTCCATTCCTTCCCAGGGGCTCAACAGGGCAACAAGATACCCCCAAGCTGAGCAATTGTTAACCTCGATTTCCCACCCAAACCTCCCTGGCTGGGGCTCAGAGAATTCTCAGAAAGCAGTGATGGGTGGCCAAAAACAAAGGACAATCATTAACGCACACAAGCCCCCCCCCCAACTCTGCATGACCACCCCCCAGAACAGCCATCAAGTCAGGGGGCTGGACCTGGGGCCAGGAAGGTTCTCAGCTCTCCATTCCTGGTGCATAAGGTCCCCAACTTGTTAAGAGAGTTAAGAGGTATTGTCCTTCAAGGGACACCCCAAATCTGTCGACATGGCCCCAGGAACCACCTTCCAAGCTCACTTGCTTCTTGGTTGGTTTTGGACATCAAGCCACTGAAACCTAGAAGGCGGCATACAAGTGCCTAAGGGGGCTGAGGCCCAGGGTGTGGGTGCTGCTTGCTCCAGGTCACAGAGCAAGGCAGCCACAGAGCTGGGGTTCCAGAACAGGTCTCTGCCTCTCCGTGTGAGAGCCACGGGGGTGACAGGAGCCCTGGAAATGAGGAGGTGATCCTATGAAGCAACTTGGCCTCCCTGTGTGTCCTGGTCAGAATGCGGGTTCTCACCTCCAGGGAGTGTCCCCATTTCTTCTCGTCTTGTCAGCCTCCCACGGCTTGAGCACGGAGGAGTTGAGGGCTTAGGACAAAGGGCTGCCCAGGAAGGGCTAGATCTGGAGAAGAAGTTAAGTCAGTTGTTCATTCATTTGCTGACTCCTTTTAGTCACTCACCGGCCCCTCTCGCCCCCCCTCCCTCTCTCCCTTCCCCCTTCAACGCCCCCTTCTCTCCTGTCCTCCTCATGGCCCTCCTCTCTCAATCTTTCCCTGTTCCTTCCTTTCTGCCCTCCTGACTGTCACATACCATCACTCTGCCCTATTATTTGTTTTCTGTTTTATGATCTATGATCTATTCTACCTTCCCCCTGCATCCCCAAGAGTGTAAACTCTGCGAGACAGGAAGGATGTTTCTCTCTCTTTCTTTATCATTGAGACCCCATTATCTAAAAAGTCCCTAGTATTTAGCAGGTGCTTAGCATTTGGAAGAATGAACAATCAATGAAACCATGAACAGAGCTCCTTTTACCTCCTATTTTGGCCGGCTAACTTCCTTCTACCCTTCTAACTTCCTAACCTTCCTTCCTAACCTTCTAACTTCCTAACCCAACCTTGCAGAGCAGACCCCGAGGCTGCCAGCCTGCTACTGCTTTTCACCAGCCTAAACTTTGATCCTCCTGCAAACCCCACAGCAGATATTCTGAAAGGCAGGCGACATCCTCTGTGCATTGGGTGGGTCTGTACCTCAGATTCCAGGCACTCCAGGGGGCCTCGTCCTCTCTTCAGGGAAGGGTCTGTCAAGCTGGGCCTCTGCCAAAAACCAGTGTTCACCCCCCCTTTGCCTTGGGAGCCAACACCCCCACCCAGATTCTTGGAACTCTCTCTCAGAATCCAATGGGAAGTGGGTAGATGTCTTGGAGATCTTGCAGAGCAGAATTAACTGGGAAACTTGATAAATTCAGACCATTAGGCCCATCCTGTTCATACAGCCAACTCTCTCTGGTAGTAGGGCCTAAGAATCTGCATTTTTATAAAACACTTTTCATAATCTTTCATAGCTGGCCCATGGGTAGGAATTCAGGCACCACAGTTTTAGAACTTTGGGGGGTTGTAGACCTCTTGAGAGTCTGATGAAAACCTTTGAGCCTCTGCTGACACAAAAACATGCCCAGAACATTCCTTTCAGTTTCATCAGGTGCACAGACGAGGCCAGAGTAGCAGCGCTTGCCTAGAATACAGCAGCTCAAGGACAGCAATTGGTCTCCAGCTTTCCCCTTCCCGGTTTTGGCTGAATCTTTTCCAGGCCCCTGGTTTTATCAGTTAAGGGAGGAAGGTAGCAGTTTTATGGTGCCTGTTTCTAATCTGGGCAGGTAAAGGCAAGGGGAGCATTCACTGATGTGCCCGGGGTCACTGAGTTGGCTAGAAGCAGCTTTCCCAGGGGTACAGACACCTCCCCGGGGTGCAGTCTGCAGCACCATCCCCTCTCTATTCCAGGTGGCCCTGCTCAGAGCCCACGCCGGCGAGCACCTGCTGCTCGGAGCCACCAAGCGATCCATGGTGTTCAAGGACGTGCTGCTTCTAGGTGAGGGCTGCCCTTCCCAGCCAGGGCATCCGGCAGGCCAGGTCAGCGGGCAGCCCGCTCGGCGGGGACCTGCCAGGGGGCTGTGCAGGGACAAGCGGGGCAGAACCCCGTGTTGTCAGTTGGACTCCCCACTCAGATGCAAGGAAAGATGGTCACAAGAAGTTAAAGTGCCCAGCATAGAAGTTAGAGCACAGCAAGTTTATGCCTGAGGAAATGGCCTGCATGTGCCTTCTGGAGACCTGTACCTGGCACAGACCCCCGACTCCCGCCAGCCCATGTCATCTATGCCTCCCTGGCATGCTGGTTTATTTTCAATGCTTGCATAGGGGACCCTATGAGCCAGATCCTCGATTACTTTATAAACGTTAACCCCATTAATACAGCAACATGGGGTAAGCTCTATCATTCACCCCCATTTTACAGATAAAAAAACTGAGGCACAGAAAGTAATTTCTTGAATCTTTCTGGCTAGTCAGCAGGTGAGTGCAGTTTCAGCCCAGACCTGAGCTCTTCACCTTGATGCTCTGGTGCCTCCCCAGTGGCCGTGGAGCGTCACTGGTCTTGCGGGTTGTGTTGGGAGAGTCCGGATGATGTGATCGGGGTCCTAGAAAGCCAGGCTCCAGGTCCAGGCCAGAGACTTCAGGCAGCTCGTGGCTTTCATCTGGCCTTCAGCTTCCTCACCTGTAAAATGGGGGTGCGATCTCCGCTGTGCCCTCCTCCCATGGGTGCCAGCCGCACCGCCACCTGCAAAAGGGCAGGGCCTGTCCGAAGCCAGGGGAGAGCAGAGCAGCACCCCTCGGCAGCTCACCCACCCCCTGCCTCCCCACGCGTCTAGGCAACGACTACATCGTCCCACGGCACTGCCCGGAGCTGGCGGAGATGAACCGGGTGTCCATGCGCATCCTGGACGAGCTGGTGCTGCCCTTCCAGGAGCTGCAGATCGACGAGAACGAGTACGCCTGCCTCAAAGCCATCATCTTCTTTGACCCAGGTATGGCTGCCGCCCCCAGTGTCACCAGCTCCCGCCCGGCTGTGCACCCCGACTTCACCAGCTCCGCTCGCTAATATGACACCAGGCGAGGCTGCTCCTGCTCGTTCTACTTAACAGATGAGGAAAACGAGGTCCAGAGGGCTGCGGGGCTGGACAGGGCCCTCTGGCTCCGAAGGCCGGGGGTTCTCCTTCCTCTGTTCCCCCTCCCCCCTCCTTTCCTCTCTTTCCTCACCTCCTGTCTCCCTTCTTTCCTTGCCTGCATCTTCTTTTCCTCAAAAAAGTCACGTAGTATCTACATAGTAAAAATGCCAACAGCTCCCCCCAACTTTTCCCGCCTGAAGCCTCCTCCCCAGGGGGAACCGTTTCTGAACCTCCTCCGTCTCTTCCGGCAGGGACGTCTACGGCTCTCAACAGAATCCACACCCTCAGGGTCTCGATTTCTCTGTCTGAGATGGACTTTTCCTCTGACTATAGCTGAGGATCTTCTCACTTTTCCCTGCCCACCCCCCCAACAAAGCTCCTGACAAGGTCCTCTGCTGAGGTGCCAATGGCCCCCGTGCTGTTCTGTGCTTCTGCCTTTGTTTCTTGTGCTGTCGCTGCAGAGTGTATCTCCTCACGCCGACTAGCAGGATGCTTTCCTGCACGCCATCCTGTCCTCTGCGTCTCCTTTCTCCACATTCCACCTCCCAATGGCCACCCACATTTTTCTACCATGTCTGTATGGGGGTATCTTTGAGCAAAGCCTGATTTCATTTCACAATGTCAAGATGCCCGGGCCCCCAAGGCTTGCTCACCCCCGTCCCTCCGCACATGTCAGCGGGCACCTCGGGTGGGGGGGCAGGTACTGTCCTTACTGCTGGGCCCCACATGCTAGGTCCACTGCAGTGATAAGGAAAAGGAAGAGGAAGACACTGCTGCTTACGGAGCGCTCACAAGGCGCCGTTCTGAACACTTTAGGCGGATTATCACATTTATTACTTCCAACAGGGTACCTCTGAGATAGGAGTTGTTATTATCCCCATTTTGTAGATTAAAAAAAAAAAACTAAGGCACAAGGAGATTGATTAACTTGTCCAAGGTTATGCAACCAGGAGATGGAAGAGCTTGAATTTGAACTCCAGATTCTCCAGCTCTCAAGCCCATGTTCTAAGCAAGTGCTAATCCCCATTTCTTTCTTTTTTTTTTCAAAGATTTATTTATGTATGCATAAATACAAGAACTGGGGTACAGGCCAGATGTGCAGGGGGTGAGGGGATTCACCAGAGACAGAGTGAGGAGCAAAACAGGCAGACTGACTGAAATACACTGCTGAGGGGAGCAGCAGGTGAGACAGGAGGGGTCTGCTGCGCCATGTGGATAGTTCCCTGGCCAGTGATCAAACTTGTGCTGCAGAAGTTGGGGACAGCTTCACAGTGCTGTGCTTAACCCCTTGAGCCACCAGGGAGGCCCAGTCCCCATTTCTTAAAGAATGAGGCTCCTGGTTCTAGTTTCCTTGAACTATTTCCTGGCCCAGGCTGTACCCCCATCAGTGCCTGGCACAGGGTTTTCAATATTAATTGCTCAGTAAAATGTGCAAGATTACTGATGCCAAGACAGGTCAGCAACCTGGCTGGGAGGGGGCAGGCGGCCTGGTAAGGGCCTGGCATACTGCAGGTGGTGCTCAGTAAGTGTTTGTTGACTGAATGAAGGCTTGTAGAGGTGTGGCTCAGTTGAGAGAGCCCTGAACTGAAAGTGGAGGTGACATTCTCTTTCTGCCACCTACTTTATCCATAAAAGAAGAAATAAATGCATCATCTCCATGAAGATTGAGATTAGCCATTGGATGCCCACTTGAGTCCCCATCTAGGTTAACTCTCTAGAATTTATCCATTGATTTTTTTCATTCATTCATTTCATTCATCCACCTGCCCATCCCTTCATCTAGCCATCTACTCAACAACTGTTGACTACACGTGATGCTAGGTAGTGTGTTTACAACAACAAAAGAAATACACGTCCACCCAGAGCTCAGAGTGGAGTGGGAGAGACAGTCATGCCCTGTGTGGTCAGTGGTGACCAAGGAGCCACAAAAACGTGGAGACATGATAGACACTCATAGTGCTGACCTGAGAGAGATGAATAGAGAAGGCTTCCTGGAGGAGGTGAAACTTAAGCTGTGACACCAAGGTAATGCAGGCACGGGAGCAGCAGTGTGCATAGCTCTGTTCTAAGACCGCCAAAGACAAGGGGCTGAGGTCTGGGCAGTGGTACCTCAGCTATGAGTCAGGAAGTCCACGCCCATGTCATGGCTCTGCCAACAATTGACTGTGTGGTCTGCTCCGTGCCTCAGTCTCCTGTGTGTAAAATGAGGCGATTGCTCAGCACCCTCTTTGAGGGGTTCCTGAAGTTCTGCTCCCCATCCTCCACGCCCCTCTCGCAGTTGTGTGACAGACACCTCTCTCTGCCCGAGTCTAGGAAGCTGCAATTTGCACTAGTGTACCCTGGTTCTCGAGGACACTGAATCCTCACCCCAGCACTGCTGAGGACACCCTAGGGTCAGTTGGTCTTGATCTGGGCCCCATGAATCAAAGCACATCTGGGCCCCCTCCCATTGCAGATGCCAAGGGGCTGAGTGACCCGGGCAAGATCAAGCGGCTGCGTTCCCAGGTGCAGGTGAGTCTGGAGGATTACATCAACGACCGCCAGTACGACTCGCGCGGCCGCTTCGGTGAGCTGCTGCTGCTGCTGCCTACGCTGCAGAGCATCACCTGGCAGATGATCGAGCAGATCCAGTTCATCAAGCTCTTCGGCATGGCCAAGATCGACAACCTGCTGCAGGAGATGCTGCTGGGAGGTCCGTGTCAGGCCCAGGACGGGCTGCGAGGTGGGCAGAGTGTTGGGGTTGCTCACACAGACCTGGGCTCACTTCTCGGTTCCATCATGTCCTCACTCTGGCCCCTTAGCCTGCCCAAGCCTCCCTTCCTTCAGCAAGAAAATGGGAATAATGCCCCATTTATTCTCAGCAGAAGGCAAGATCTCTGTCCTCATGGGTGGGGTGTGGGGTGTGGGGTGTGCGTGTGTGTGTCTGTAAAATAATAATCAAGTATATAATAAACATGGTAACTACAGATTTTGAAATAACCAGGTAATACTGTAGAGTATGACTGAAGAGAGGTTTCTTTAACTAGCTTGGCCAAGGGAGACTACGCTGAGGTGATGACTTTGTGCTAAAATCTAATATCTAAAAGGAAATAGAACATTTAAAAGCCAAGAAAAAAAACATTCCACCAGAAGTAGCTCACACAAAGGCCCTGAGGTAGGAGGTTTGTATGAAAGAGGATATGATGGTGCGACTGAGTGAAGTGGGATCACATAAGATGAAGATGGAAGTTGGGCACAGCCACATCATAACCACAGTCTTGTGGACGTTGATCAGAAATCTGGATTTTATTTCCATTTCTAATTTTTTAAAAAAGATTTATTTATGCATACAAGAACTGGGGTACAGGCCAGAGGTGCAGTGGGTGAGAGGATTCACGAGAGACATAGTGGGGAACAGAACAGGCAACTGACTGAAATACACTGCTGAGGGGAGCAGCAGGTGAGTCGGGAGAGGTCTGCTGCGCCATGTGGGTAACTCCCCGGCCAGGGATCGAACTCGTGCTGCAATGGCTGCCAATAGCTTCATAGGTTGCGTCTTAACCCCTTGTGCCACCAGGGAGGCCCTCCATTTCTACTTTTGTCAGGAGAGTGAAACTAATGTTTTAAACTACTCTGATTATTGAGTAAAAAGTAAATTTAAGGGGAAGGACATGGAGGCTTAGACATGGTTAGAAATTTAGCAGCATAGATAAACTTCATCATCTATTCAGATGAAGAATGCACAGGATTTGCTGGTAGATCAGATGTGGGGCATGAGGGCAGGGGAAAAGCCAAGGATAAAACCTGCATTTTGCTCAGAGTAATATACCGAGACAGGGAAGACAGAAAAGGCAGTCTGAGTCCAGGCATGGGGTTGGTGAGTGATAAACCAAGATATCCAGTCGAAACTTCAGTTAAACATGAGACTATTAGACACCCAAGTTGGTTACCAGGGAGTCAGTTCTATGAGTCTGTTGCTCAAACACAAGCCCAAAGCCCAGGATGGGGGCAGCTTGGTGGTTTTCCAGCAATTTGGTGCCATGGAAGGGGATGGAGGAGGACTGGTCAGGGGATAGGATAAAGGAAAAGGTAGCTTCAGAATCCGAGAGAAGAGCATGCGTTAAGAACACAACATTTAATTTGCTAAATTCTACAGCAGGAGAAGGTCAATGTGCTCATTGGCAACAGGGAGGCTCTTGGCAATTGTGTTGAGAGCACTGTCAGGGGAAACCAGATTGGGCCAGTCTGCTACAGAGTGAGTGAGTGAGGAAGTGCAAAAATACAGAAGTGGACAGAGCAAGTATTGACAATCTCTGAAAAATGTCTCACTCTGAGGGGAGATATGAGAAGGTTGAGGGTGGTTGCAAGGAAACAATCATAATGATGGACTATGGGACCTTTGCCATACTAAGAAGAAAATGGGTGACAGGTGGTGAAAAACAGAGTCATTGGGTTGGCAGCCTCAAGGGCTGAATGAAGGGCTTTTGCAGTGATGGTACCAGACTAGCTGAGCCACAAGGATAGGGCATGAGGTCAACATGAGGAAGCTTGGACTCAAGGTTTTGGAGGTGATGCAGTTTCTGGTGATGGTATGACCAAAAGCAAAGTTTCTCAAACTCAGCACTAGGAATTTGGGACTGGAAAATTCTTTGTTGTGAGGGCTGTCCTCACAACTATTTAGCCACATCCCCACCCAAGAGATGCCAGTCCTGCCTCTCTACTGGTGGCCACTAAAAATGCCCCAGATAGGGTCAATGCCTCCGTAGGGGCCCACATCAACTCATTCCCAGTTGAGAATCACTGTCATACGCTAACTCATGTCATTCTCTCTTTGACCCCTTGAATATGGGGTTATTATAAATCAGGTGTCATTGAGATCAAGGGTAGGAAGGAACTTGTGTTTTGTTGCCAGATAAACTTGGGTAAAATCATCAATTTCTTTGGGTAGTCATCTGCAAAACAGGAAAGTCATGGTACCGACCCTATAGGATTGTTGCGAGGATTAAATTATGTCAAACATGAAAAGTGCTGTCAAATAGCACCTGGCCCATAAGAGACGCTCAGTCGTTGTTTGCAATCATTGAAACAGGTGTACTTTAGAGCCCTCTTGAAGCTCTAACTTTCCATCATTGACACACTGGTGACCACAGTCTATTATCAAACCACACCCCATGTGATATTATCATTCTCTGATAGGGTTTTTGAAGCCGTTACTGTGTTCCAGACACTTTGCTAGTCCTCAAAGAGAGAAGGAAAATACATCTCTAATTATAATGCTCACAAACAGAAGTGGTTGTTTAAAAAAAAAGGGCTACAAATAAATTATTATGGAAATTTGAAGGAAGGAAATATTTACTTCCTACTGGAGTAGAGAGAATCAAGAGAAGCTTTGCAAAGCAGGAAATATCTGAGTTGGAATTTGAACTTGTGGACATAGTGTGGCAGGGAGGCAGGTGGCAGGTGAGTGTGCATGGAGAAGGCATCTCTAGTGGAAGCAACACATGAGTAAAAGCATAGAGATAGGAATGTACAGGCAACACATAGATGCTATAAGTAGATCTGAATGTATGGGTGATGAAGCTGAAAGGTGAGTTGGGATCAAATGGCTGAAAGACTTGTGTGTCAAGGAACTTTGAAAATCATTGACTAAATCTATTACATGAAGATGCAGTCAATACACTAATCATGTTTTTTGTGGTCCTCTTAATACCCTCAAGGAGGCTATGGAGAAGAATGGTAACCCCCAGTTTACTAACCGGAAGTAAGAACTGAATAGGAGCTGTCAATATTCGATGAGCAGTTTGACTGGCCACACCTGGGGAAGATAGTGCCTCAAGTCCTATAGTCCTTATGTTAGACTTCCCATCTTGATTGAGTTTTTTCTCTACCTGCAGGGTCCGCTAGCGATGCACCTCATGCCCATCATCCTCTGCACCCTCATCTGATGCAGGAACACATGGGCACCAATGTCATTGTGGCCAACACGATGCCTACTCACCTCAGCAATGGACAGATGTGTGAGTGGCCCCGACCCAGGGGGCAGGCAGGTGGGCAACTTGGGTTTTACCCAGGAAGGGAGGCGGTTGGGGCCTAAGAGGGAAGGAGAAGGGTTTAGAACATGGGAACCTGGATACAACAGTCCTCTATGTAGCAAGGTAGGGAGTGGGGGGTGAGATGGTCCATTTGCTAAGGCTATTTATTCAGTGAGACCATTTATTCAGTGAGATAACCTCTAGTGAATGAAGCTGTCCTTGGAATGAGGCATCCATTGGATGAGGCTGCCCATTGGGTGAGCATGTCCTTTGGAATTAGAATTCCATTAGGTGATGTTGTCCATTAGATTAAATTGTTCCTTGAAGTTAGGCTGCCCAATTGGGTAAGGCTATCCATGAGACAATAGGGTGAAACCATTCACTGGGTGGGGATGTCCTCTAGGTAAAATCTCATAAGGGTGTGTTTGTCATTGGGCAAAGGTCTACAAAGAGTTAAGTCATTTTGTCCAACATTTGAGATGGGACAAAGTAGTTCACTAAAATGAGGTTGCATTTCATTGAGCTTGTTCTTTGGGGAAGTTGTCCAACTGGGTCATGGTCAAAGTTATTTTCTGAATCTGTGAAGGTGGTGGAATCAATTCATTTTCATTATTCGTCTACCTAAATATCAAAGAAATGCTATTTGTAGAGCCGGTTAGATCCAGACTGTTGGATCTCATCAACTGCTGTGCCTTTTCTTCAAGAAAGGGTACTCCTGTCACATGTCCTATTGTCCTTACGAAGAGTCAGGCTTGGGCCCTGGGAGAGAGGAGAGAAGCAGCCAAGTCTCCATCTCAAATGTTGGACAAGACAGGGATTGATGGAATCAGGGCAAAGAGCTCAGTCATAACCTTCCAGATCTCATGGAACCTAGGTTTTATGTTCTGGGACTCAGAAAGTTTGAATTGTAAGAGACCTGAGAGATAATCTAGTTTAACTCTTTTGTTCTATAGGAGAGGAAACTAAGTTTCAGGTGGGCTAGAATGTTCCCAGGATGAAGGGCCGGGATTTTGAGCAGCCCTGCTTGTTTTTCTGTCCCTCCAGCCACCCCTGAGACTCCACAGCCCTCGCCGCCAGGTGGTTCAGGGTCTGAGCCCTACAAGCTCCTGCCAGGAGCCATCACCACCATCGTCAAGCCCCCCTCGGCCATCCCCCAGCCAACCATCACCAAGCAGGAAGTCATCTAGCCGCCACTGGGGGTCGGGGGCTCTGCTGGCCCCCCAGGCCCCTCAGAGAGCCCCTGGTGCTGGTCCTGTGAAGGAGGCTGTAGAGCAGGGCAATCCCAGGGCCACAGTGGTCAGGGTGAGAGCTCTCGAACTTGGACTGAGGCCCACATACCATTGTCACCCTTCACTGCTGCTCTGCAAGACGGGCCTCGAACTTGGGGAGACCCCAGCTGAAAGTCCTCTGCTGCCTTGGACAACTTCTTCTTGCTGAAGCCACTGCCTTCCCTGTCATACATATCTACCCTCAACTCTTCACCCCCAAAGGACTATTGTCTGGAGACAGGGGACCTTGCTTAAACATGGTGCCCTCCCTCTCAGACTGGTACTTCTTCCATCTCGATACAGTCACAGAGTCCAGATGCAGAGCCCTCTGAGGCGGGGTCAGGTCATGCCACCTAGCCCTCTCCCCCATTTTGCTGCCCCGACATCCAGTGCTCATCCATCCCCCCTGTCACCGGCCTCAGCCAGTCTAGTGTCTCCAAAACTGTCCCCCTCAAAAGCTGAGGAGGACTTGGAAATAACCCCTCCCCCATTACCTCATGAACATATTTAAAGCACTGACTGGGGTAGGCCCAGTGTAGGAGACTGTGCAGAAGGAAGACATCAGCCTTCCTCCAGCCCACAGCCATCTCTTCTTCCGGGCATTGGGTGGGCCCTGGGGGTCAGGGTGATGAGCCCTACAGGCTTTCAATGACAAGAGAACAATCCCAGGGGACAACAGCCACAGGAACTTAGAGGAAGGTCTGGGAGGTCGGAGAAAGCATCGGAAGGAGGGGGAGGATGCATGAGGTCTTTAAGGTAGGGTGGGACTTGGTTGGTGGATCAGGGGAGACAGGACTTTCCAAGGAAGGGCAGGACAAGGCCTGGAGGTCAGAAGAAGGGCGTGGGAGGGAGGAAATGAGAAGACCACTGTCAGGAACAGAGGGGCCCTGCTGGACAACGGGGGCCTCAAATGCCAGACCAAGGAGGTAGCCACGGCTCCTGTGCCCTGTCACGGGTTGAGATGGGCAGAACCGAGCCTTCTGATGAATACAGCTGCCCAGAGAATGAGAAGGTGGGGCGAGTGGTGTTCAAGGGGGGATGGTGGTGAGATTCAGGTGAGGGGGTTGAGGCTTAGAGGTGGAAACCTCAGTGGGTGCCCCCTCAGCACAGGGTGGTATCAAGGATGATACCACCAGGCCCCCACAGGGCCTGTCTCAACTTTTCCCTTAGTCCAGGCTCTGTCCTAAGGCACCTGACACGCACCTGCTCTTTTCATCCTCCCTGTTGCCCAGAGATCATTTTGGAAGATGAAATTGAAATCTAAGAGGTTAGTGATTTTCCCGGAACTCGCACAGCTACTCATACATAGCTGGGTCAGGACCTGGTCCCAGGTCTGCCTGGGTAGAACAGGATCCTGAACCGCAGTGGCAGAATGAGTTCTCCGCAAAGGCCCCTCTGTCCTCACTGGCCCAGCCCCTCAGGTAGGAAGATCCTCCCCTGCCACAGAAGCTACAGTATCTCTCTGGCCCAGAAACTCTGGCCTGCCCACATCTGGGACTAGGAAAGGCCTGAAGCTATAGTCAAGTCCAGTCGTTGTCCAGAAGTCTGTTTATTGATACACAAGGAAAATTTCTAACTCTTGGGCCCCTCTTCTCTCTTTGCTCCCCAAGGAGGTGAAGGATGTCAGAGGTCTGTGGCCTGGTTTGGTTGGGGCAGAGGATGGGGTTAGTCTGGGTTTGAGACCTGCTCTGGGGAGCATCACTTGAGGGACATTCTGGAAACATTACACCCCAGGATGGGGCAGCCAGCATTCATCCGTGCAGAATCTTGATGCCTGGAAAATTCTGGAAACTGCCACTGGCGGGTGGATATCAAAGACACATGCCCTGGGACTGGAGCTGTGCTTGAGTGAAGAGCAAGAGGTAGATTGACTGCTGACCCCTCTAAGTGGATGGGGTGATACCCCAGTGCCAGAAATTCCAGCAGGGGTGGTTGTTCCTCTTTGCAAAAGGGGCATGAAGGGTGTTGGGGCCGAATGTCCAAGAGAAATCCCTGCTTTTCCGGTGAGGTCAGGATGGGCCTGTCCCTCTCCACTAAGCCAGGTCCTCGGTCCCAGGAGAGACTGTCCACTGCTCACACTTTCCTCCACCACCTCTCCCTTGGGTTCCCCAAAAGTCCCAGTTAGGGGTTCAGACTGGCCAAGGCAAGGTGGGGCAGTTGGAGTCCTGGTGGTGGCCTCGGTCGTTGCCACTCTCCTCCAGCCCTGTGCTGCTCAGGCCTCTGTCATAGGAGGGAAGCTGAGATAAGGATCCCCTGGGACAGAGCAAGCTCAGGGTTGCCTAAGATGGCAGCCATCTTCTGGGTCTGAGGTCAGTCCGTTCCTGGAGGAGGAAGCTGTTCTGCTTTAATAATTTTAGTGACATGGAGGAAACACAAAACATCAAGAAGTTTACTTTTCTGATAGTAAACCGAGGACACCATCCAGGAGAAGTGTTCTCCCCCCACTACCTGGGTTGTGGCCCTAAAACAAAATCTGATGGGCTAAAAAGGGGTTGGGAGTGCAAACCTGGACCCCAAATTCCTCCACTGAGACAATGCCTTCCCTAGGCAACTCTCAAAGGCTTCCAGGATGTACATGACTCTTGTGAGAGTGGACAGAGACCAGGAGAGGGTTGGAAATGGATGCGCCTAGATTTCTTATGACCAAGCCAAGTGCTTTTGCCAAATTGCTCTGTGATTTTCCCTGATTGGGATGAATTATTCCGCAAGTTGTTCCGCAAGTGGGCTGTGTCCTGCCAGAAGGCCCAGCACCTCCTGTGGGTGTGGACATGATCAGCTCCTGTGCTGGCCCCTGAGTCCTTCCAACCTCCCCCTGCTCGCTCCCATCACTGCTGCCCAATGGGGCAAAGAAGCAAAAAACCTTTCTTACTCTTGTGTGTTTTAACAAAAGTTTATAAAACCAAATAAATGGCACGTATGTTTTCTAAGTCCTCGGATGGGTGTTTTTTCTTCCTTTGAAGTATTAATACTTGAAACAAGCAGTCGTATATTTCTTTACAGTGTGCGAAAGGTGTTCACATTCATTTTTTATTTTTTAAAGATTTATTTATTTATGCATACAAGACCTGGGGTGTAGGCCAGAAGTGTGGGGGATGGTGGGGGGAGAGAGGATTCACCAGGGAGAGTGGGGAGCAGAACAGGTGGATCTACTGAAATCCACTGCTGAGGGGAGCAGCGGGGAGACAGGAGAGGTCTGCTGCGCCATGTGGGTCACCTCCCTGGCCGGGGATCGAACTCATGCTGCAGTAGCTATGGATTGCTTCATGGTACTGACGCTTAACCCCTTGTGCCACCAGGGAGGTCCTTCATTAGTTTTTTAATCTTCTGAGATTAGACCTAATTCATACCCTACATTTTACCCTCCATTCATATCCTATACTTGGCAGAGAAAAAACAGCCTCAGGGAAAGTGGTTTTCCTTGGGAGGCAGAGGTAGGAATCTGACTCCAGTCTCTTGATTCATTATTATATATGAGTACACAGTATTCGGTATGTAAAGAGAGTGAAGGCCTATCCTTCATCAGGAAGAGGAAGGGAGAAGGAAGGGGTTGGTGGAAAGATCTGGAAAGATGGCAAGAGGGTCTAAGTGTCTGTCATCTACCATGAGGATCCAAGATGAAACCCTGCTCTGGATCACTTCAGGGGATCTGAGTCAACCTACCAGCAATAAAGGATGAGTTGGCACAGGGAAATTTCATCAAAGCAAGTGTCATTTTAGCAACGAATAAAGTGAGGGAAGCACTTGAGAATTTCCAGCAGGGTCTGCGGTCACCGTGTGCTTTCCCTGGTAAGCAGGTGTGCAACCCCCACACACCCCAGCCTCGCTTTCACTCGGGCATGCCAGAGCTGCCTCTCACATGCTTCTCCCAGCTCTGGGTTCAGCAATGCCATGTTGACAGTGGTGGGGGCACGCACACCAGGAGAACTAGCAAATGCTACCCCTCACCCCCAGGGCCGGAAGTTGCACTCTCCGAACACCACAACATCCTCTGATAGGTGGATGAGGGTGGCTCTTTCAGGATTTCCCAAAGGGAGGGCACAACAGTTCTGATCTGGAAGGGTACACCTCTTAATGATTAATGTAAATTTGGTCAGGTCATTCCACCTCATCAAGCCTTATCTGTAAGCTGGGAATAATACGTCCCTCCAGGGTGTTGTCAAGATTGAATTGAATGAGATCATGGTTACCACGAGAGCTGCAGTGGGCGAAGTGTACAGAGGACCAGCCACCAGCCACAAGGATTCAGAGAATGCCAACTCTTTACCCGCAGCTAGTCAGAGGCTAACCATTAAGTTCTCCAGCCTTGAGAGCACCCATTTGCTGTTCACCTGACCCCAGGCCACCCTGCCTGTCCCCTCCCCTTCCTTCTACTCACGAGCACTAGGGAATATTTTCCATGATGTTGCAATGAAGGTCTCATGCACGTTGCTGACAGCGTGGACATAGGGGTGGGAGCCAGAGGAGGCTATTGCAGTCCTAGAGCAAGCTTAATAAATCCATATCAAAACCATAAACTCTGGGCTGCCATAAATTCCTCTGGCCTTGGCTCCTCCACCACTTCAGCCCTTTGCCCCAGTTAATCTCAGATCCCAGCGTGGGCGTTAGAGCTTCAAGTTTGGTTTCCATGTTCGTTGCAAAACAGCATCCGTTTGGGTAACGAACAGCAAATCCCATTATCCCCATTTTAGAGCTGATGAAACCAAGGTTCAGAGAGGTGAGGGCTTTGTCCAAGGCACACAGCCAGTGGGCAGTTGAGTCAGGAGTTGAATCCAGGCTGCTTCTCCCAATGGTGTGGTCTCACTAAGAATTGGTCATTTAGTCCCCACAAAGGTGGTTCCCCAGCCTTGATACTAGAGGCTTCCCACCCATTATTCTAAATGGCGTCCCAGTGCTCAAAGAGCAGGGAAGGGACCCCGGGTCATAGGTTGCCTGAAGAGCCAGAGGAAATTCCATGCAGGGTGAATGACATGTCACCCCATGTTGGTGGGATTGTCCCACTTCCTCTTTCGTAGGATGTGGATCACCTTTGATCTACATTTCTCTGATCAGTTGTCATTTGTAAATTCCAAGATGTGATTTCAGAGACCCAATGCGCAGGATCCTGGACAGCTGATGGTGATGGGTCTTGAGGCCAAGGACGTTTATTGACCTCTTCTTTGTCAAACCTTTAAGCCTCACAACAACCCTCTGAGTTGGGTATTCTTGTTCTTTTTTTACAAATGAGGAGACTGACGCTCAGAAAGAGGAAGGCACTGGCCCAAGGTCCAGAGCTGGTGCGACAACTGAGACTCCAGGGGCCACCAAGATGGAATTGGAAACCAGTGACCACAGCAGTCATGGCCTGGTGGGCACAGAAGGTGTGAGAACCGTACAAAACATCAATTGTCAAAGGTCATGGGGCAAAGCCTTATGCATAAGTTCCCTGGAGATCTGAAGAAGCAATACCAGAGGTGCCTACCACTCAGAGCTTACAATTTACACTCACAGAGGGAAAAATAGCAAGTGGCTGGATACACGTGTCACTTAACATTTAGGTCAATGACCGACCACACCTATCACGGTCCCAGTAGGCTGTGTCACACTGCCCAGGTGCATGGGAGGCAGGATCACCAAGGTTTATGTGGATACACTCTGCAACCTTTGCACAACAGTGAAATCACCAATGATACATTTCTTAGAACACATCCCCTTCGTTAGGTAGCATATGATTAAAAGTATTAACATGGTTTGAAGAGCCAAAGGAGAGAAAGTGATAACTGTGAGGTGGTAGTTTGAGGGAGGAAGAAAGGACAAGATGGTATGCATCTGCAGAAGGATTCAGAGGCAGTCGTGAAGCAGAGAGAAGACGGAAGAGCACTGGAGGTTGAGGAGGGAGAATTAACAGCTTGTGGGGCTGGCAGCTGCAAGTGCAGCCTGGAGATGGGAGGCAGGATGGAGGCCAGTGGTCCCCACCTCCACCTAAGTACATGGTCCCTTTCTGACTTCAGATTTTTCATAACCCTTCTCTTTACACTGATCACTGACATCGGTGGGAACCCAGCGCCATTTGCCATGAACAGGAGATGATTGCAAAATTCAGGTGAGAAGGAAACAGTGTTCTTCAGGGACAGCCAGAGAAGATTGCCCAGGGAATACTCTGCTCTCCTTTTCAAACAGGAAATCGACAAGTATTTAGAGAACCAGTAAAGGCACACGCTACCCAATCGGGACTTTCTCCCCAAAGTTTTCAGAAGGAAGTAAGAACTGCAAGAGACCGGCTGAGGGGACAGTGCCACCTATGGATGATGCACCTGCCCCTGGAGTCCTCACCCACATCTGGAAGCAACACATCTGGTGACAGGTTTGGGCCAGGTGCTGGGAGCCTCAAACACTGAGCAACTAGAGTTTCTTCTGGGGAAATCACTTTGGAGGCTAGAGATGGAGGCAAGGCTTGGTCAAATTAGTATCTTTGGAAGATCATTCTGGCAACTTTGAGGAGGATGGATTGAAGAGGGTGTGAGTGAAGCAGGGAGATCAGAAAGATGCTCATGGGTTTGCCCAGTGAGAGACGGTGATGTATGCATCAAGAAGGGGGGTGTAATGATATAGAGGAGGGGACTCATCCTAAAGACATACATCATTCCTTCACTCTTTCAACAATTATTTAGTGTGTGCTGACAATGCTGGGCACCTTCCTAGGCACCTGGACACACAGGTGAGCAGGACAGATAAAGTCTCTGACTTCCTGAAGTCTGCCTTCTAGAAGGGGCAGTCAGGCAGAGTAATAAATCAACAAAGGCATTTTCAAATAGTCAAGACATCAGTCTGTCAAGCAACTTGTCAAGTGCTTCACAAATGAAACAAGGTATTGTGAAGGTGTGAACGTGAAATGAAAAGAAAGGTGGGTACTTTGAAAGAACTGGGGTTGGGGGAGGGAGTCTCTCAGGAGTGAACCTGGCGGAGGTCTAGAGGGTGAGAAGCTCAGGAAAAAGTTCTCAGGTAGAAGGAACAGCACATGTCATACTGCCAGGAGGAGACAAGGTGAGGGTATTGGATGACGAGCAAAGAGGTGGGTGGAAGGAGATGGAGTCTGGGAGATGGGGGGCGGGGAGGACCAGGGAGGGTAGCTTCCAAGCCAGAAGAAGACTTTGGATTGTATTTTAGGTGCACTGAGAAGCTCTTAGGGGTTTAATAGGGAGGTGACGCGGTCTGATTCTTGTCCTTAACAGTCACGCCCTGCTGGGTGGAGAAGGGGCTGCAAGGAACAAGAGCATGCAGAGAGCCCCAGCGTGGTCCCTGCTGTGGTCAGGAGAGAGAACACCGCTTGGACCAGAGAGGGGGGAAGGCTGAATTCTAAGTGACTCCAAGACTCCTGCCCCTGGTCTGTATAGGCCTCTTTTCAATGATTCAATCACACATGAATCTGGGTGCTGCTGTGGATATCGCCTGAGCATGTAATGAACATCCCAAAGCAGCTGACAGAGTGCTAGGGAGATTAGCCCTGGTGGGCCTGCCCTAACCACATGAGCCCCTCAAAGGGTAGGAGCTTGAGAGGGATTCAAAATGAGGAAGATTCTCCATGGCTGCTTTGAAGATGAAGGGGTCACATGGTCAGGAATGTGGGTGGAGAGGTACCCCAGCTCACAGTCAGCCAAAAAATGTTGAACTTGGTTCTACAACCCTGAGGAACTGAGCTGAATTCAGGTAACAACCTGAAGGGAAAAGGTCCTTCAGGGAGAACACAGCACAGCCAACACCCTGACGTGAACATTGTGAGGCCCTGGCAGAAAGCCTGTCACTCACTCTCTGGGCTTCTGAGCAGACACTTGAGATGACTGCTGGGTGTTGTTTTATGTTGCTGAGGTGGGGCAACTTGTTAGGCAGCGTAGAAAATGAACACAAGTGAGGGTTCGAGAGGTGGTCAGATTGAGC